AGTCATACTTCTACTGTTATTATACACATATGACTATTGTCACACAAGTATACTGCCAGATATTAATATATTATTATTAATTATAATATTATTACTTTCATTAATGTTGTTGTAAGCTACTGTCATTACCGTCTGTCCTGCATCTCTCTCTCTGTCTCTCTGTCTCTGTCATGGAGGATACCTAGTGCATCATATGTCGACGTGAAAGTCCACTGACAAAAGAGCGACATGTGACAGCTTGAGATGAGAACGTGTTGACTCAGCAACAAAGACAAACAGCTGTACCTCTCGTCCTGTTTGATGTCATGTCTTCAGACACAAATTGTCCATGATTCACGTCTTCTGGTCTTTTCACTGCTGACTTGGCTGCAGCTGGGTCGCTCTCTGGAAGATAAAGTACGTATGCAACTTACATGACTGCAGGTAGTGCATCTGATACCAGTGCAGTTTGTATAGCTACTGCTACTATATACGGAGATTTGTAAAGTTGCACATTTATAATTCACATCATGTCTTAGTTTTGTTCACGGCCCTGCAGTGAAATGTTTGCAGGTCGCTGAAGTGTTTTCTCAGAAACAGGAAACTGGACGACCACAGAGCTGCTAGCTTCTGTTAACCACAGGGTACAAAACATCTTTTAACACCCAACCGACCTGCAGTCACACTGCTGTTCATTTATTAAATGAGCAAGTTTTCTCAAATATCTTAATTATTTCAAAATGTCCTCACAAGGTCTTAAACCTGAATATAACAGTAAACAGAAACAACAGACTTTCATGCAGAAACCCAGTCTGGTGCTAAACCACCAATACTTACATAAACCAGCTGTCCGCCTCAGTGTCAGTCCACACAGCTTAACCACCGTGTTCATCTGCTACATACATGATCAACAACACGACCCAAACAAGAATGTAGAACTTAACACGGTCCTCACAAGGATATAAGAGAAAAAACACACACACACACACACAGTCACTGTCCCTGAAAGTCCCCTTAAAATCAATAAAACCCCCATCACCTCTGCGCCGTCTGTTACTTGATACTGAGACATTGCTGTATGTGATGTGATCTGTGATGTCATCATCTCTAACTTCAGCAACTGAAATGAATCAAAAAATAACAGAAATTAATCAGTTTTAACCTCAACGTTCAGTAAAATGGAAATCTGATCGTCAACAGTTTGAAACTTCATCTGCTGAGGAAGACCATGTGATACGAAGAGAAAGCTCCAGAGCAAACTAAATGGACCTCGTGGGTAAGCAGTGTAATTTATGAGAATCCAAACAGACATTTGACTTTAATAAACATTTTGTAATCAGAGTTTAAAAAGTAGGACTTGTAATTATGTTTACGCTGCACTGAAATGTTCATAAAGATAAGAAACAGGAAACAGTAAGGGTTAAAATGTGGCACTATTGTGTCTGAGTCTAACCTTTACATTTGCTGTGGATGCATCGTCTCACCAGTAGAACCAGTAGAACCAGCAGCACCAGAACACAGACTGAACCAGTGGACCACAGCACAGAGGCAGGAGCAGAGGAGTGACCAGGGGGAGGAGCAGTGATGGGTTTCCCTACAATAGCAAAAATATAGAAATGAAAACAGAGCATTATTATTCCACCAAAATGATCACTTAAGTGACTTCTTCTTCTTTTCACAAAATTGAACAACGCTGTTCTCGTCTCACCCTCTCTCCTCCCTTTTTAATTGTTACACACTAACTCTTATTATCTTTTAAATAAGCTTTAAATATTCTTGAAGAGTCCGAGCAGCTCCGCACTCCTCCCCTGCGCTCTTTACACACTCCATCCATATTCCATTCTGCCACAAAAATCAAGAGGAAAAAGAAGCATGTACATCAGAAAAAAGAAAATGGCGACCTCGCTACAGCAAGAAGACTTCCTGTGTTTGTTGTTTTTAGCTAGACAACAAGAAAAAAATTGGAAAATATGTGCGACCACATAACGAGAATAGGACCAGGGACTGGGAATACAGAACACTGGTGCAAGAGATGAAAGCAAGAATAATGTTCCTGACCTGTGACAGTGAGCCAGCTGGGTGGAGACTCTCCATGACCTGTGATGTCACACTTGTAGAGGCCTTCATCAGACCTGGTTACATGGCGGATGGTCATGTGACCTGCAGGCTCAGTCCTGATGAAGGAGCCATCTTTATAGAAAGCAGCTGGGAGGTTGGAGGACGTTTTTGTTTTACAGTGCAGAGTGACATCATGTCCCTCCATCACAGGGAGGACAGGACTCTGCAGGATCACTGATCCACCTCAACACAGAGACAAACTACAGCATTTCATCCATTTACACACAGCTTCATCAACACTGACTCCACAGTCTGATCTTACCAGTGACACTGATGGTGATGCTCTTACTGGTTGCTCCCTCTTTGGACTCACACCAGTAAACTCCACTGTCCAATGGATCCATGTAGCTGATGTTACAGACAGAACCAGCAGGTTTTCCCCAGCCAGCTCCACATTCAGTTCTGGTGTCTGTGGTTGTGTTCCTCCTCAGATTCCATCCAGCAGAGCTGTCGTCCTCCTCACAGCTCAGAGAGACAGAGTCTCCTTCAAACAGCTGAGAGCTGCTGGGACTCACAGTCAGAGAGGCTGCAGGGAGTCAGTGTAGTTTGAGCAAAACATAATGACCTCAGGAGGTGTCACAAAAAAAGAAACAAAAACCATGGACCAATATGAGGTTAAAGCTAGCGTCATGATGTGGTATGGTGGTGTGTGCAAAGCAACTAGTAATGCAACCTGTACTCCCAAAGTCATTAAATACCGTTGCTTTGTCAATGATTTTGGCGTCAGACACCTGACCATAAAAAAGCCATCATTGGCATCAGTGTGTAATGCGGCCAGTATGATACACTGCTGGTCAGCTGAATGGCACCTGTCGCTGTAATTTAATACACCGCTGGACGATGTCTGATTGAAATGCTACCAGTAACGACGTGATATAGGGAGCTGGAAAGTCAGTACAAAGGGCAGCAGATGAATCCAGCAAACCCTGGACTTTCACCCAGCAGGCTGGTGTTTGCTTCCTGTTTGAATACAGAGTCTAACCAAGATGTTTTTTTTCTTAACATAATCACATGCTTTTTGTTGCCTGGCCCTAACCACAACATTTGTTGACGACCTGGTTTTGGTTGCTATGTGCTTTTGTTGCCTGAATTTGAGGAACTAAACTTTAAAACAAAATGTTTTACCTACATAGTAGGTTCATTTTGAAAAAGACGCATCCAACGAGCAGAAACTGTGCATGTCCTGTGAAGATGGAAGTGTATTTTGAAAAGACACAATGAGCATATATTGAGACACTGTCCTAGAACGTCCAAACCTGATGCAGGAGGGTACCTAGCACGTCATATTTAGACGTGTAGGCCCTCTGACGAAGCGGCAGTATTTAATGAGCTGGGATGAGAACATGTTGCGTTTAAATGTTAAGAAAAAATAAACTTAATAATCTGCAGAATTCTGACTGCTTGTTTTTTTTAATTAACATTTACTTTTTCTTTCAATTCTTAATTACATTATTCATAAAAATACTTGTGACACTTAAACATCAGATACTTCAAGACTTTTTCATAGGCAATATTCTAATAGGTGACGTATTGAGTCATTTTTTTGGTAAGATATCTGTAATGTTACTTTCATTCACTGGATATGACGGTCAAAAAGTTATTCTTGATTTGAACGAACCTAAGTCATCATCATGAACATAAGCAGCACTGATGTTACTGACCTGAGTTTGTTCTGCAGCAGAGCAGTGAGGTCAACACTGAAAGGAAATGACACACGGGTTCATTCAAGCTTTGATATGTCACAACTGTATGCACATACATACATAATACACACAGCTATACATGCATACTTGTGTGTGTGTAACAAATAAAAGCCAAAAATAAACTAGAGACAGGATCACAGCAGCAGCGACAGAGCGATCCGCTGAATATGGCCAATGCCTCCTTCCCTACTTCCTACCCCTGTGCTTCCTACCACCTTGCTTGTACCACTCAGCTCTTCGAACTTTACCTTAACTTTCATCTTGCATCTTGAATGGTCATGACACAAAATCTGTCCAAAGACAGACACAAAGTGAAAACAAGACCAGGTCAAAAAAAGAAAAGGCCAGTAAAAACAAAAAAAGGTAAAACTGCCAAGGTCAAATAAACATAATGTTTTGTCACAGAACTACAGATCAATCCAATCATACAACTGTAGATGCAGCTACTGCTTAACAGATCCATTCACTCTCTTTCCATAGCCACCTATCCTGTAGGGGGGTGGAGCCTATCCCAACTGATATTGGGCGAGAGGCGGGGCTCACCCTGGGCAGGTCACCAGACTATCACAGGACTGACACACGAGCCCCTTTTACACTGCCAGATTTTCGGCGAATGTTGGGCCGTTTTGCAGGAAAGCTGCGAGCGTTTAGACACACAGAGCCGGATTGGCGAGTTGATCCGAGGCACCCAGTTTTCCTCCTCATAGGGTAGACATATTGGTGGAACCCTTTTTGGTTTAAACAGACCGAGGCGGCCTTCTGCCACAGGAGGGGCTGTTGATGACTTGTGGGAGGAGCTGTTGATGACTTGTGGGAGGAGCTGTTGATGACTTGTGGGAGGAGCTGCTGATGACTTGTGGGAGGAGCTGCTGATGACGCCGCACGTGCGAGCCACTGGCGGTGGATAAACAGGAAACAGCTGATAGCAGGAATTAGCGAGCAGCTAGTAGCAAGAGGGAAACACAAACCTGACAGACACTGTAAAGATGAGCAACTGGGGAGACAAGGAATTGTGCGCCCTCCTTGTCCTCGCAAACGAAGAGGCCATTAACCGTCAGATGACGGGGACGGTGAAGGACGGGCCGACTTACGAGAGAATC